GTTAAAGTTTTCGTTTGACACAGCTCTAGATTTATTTAATTTGAACACTACCTTGCTAAACGTGGTTGTCTGGCCTCCTCGTCACATCCTGTTTGTTATTTCTCATATTTACTTTTCTTGCTTTTCTGTCAAAGCACTTCGTAAACCCTTGATTTAAAAAGTACTATATAAATAATGTTATAATTATTATTTTATAAAGGAAAATTCTGGGGTGAACAAATCCTTAAATCAAGCGTCTCAGTTCTTACCTGCCATGTAAAGGCGACAGCTTCTTTGTCCAGACCCTCGGCTTTCACAGTCAAGTTGTTCACACAGGTGGCCGTTAGCGTCTTGGTTGCATTGTCGTACTTGTCCACAAGCTCCAGGTCTGAATCAGGAAAAAAAAGAAGCAGTGTGTCGTCCTGGGTGAAACCATATCTGAGTAAAATCTGATCTTTGTGTGATGAGGTTCATACTCACTGATGGTTTCAGACAGAGTTTCACCCAGTTTCATTGTGTTGTGGAGCAGAGTCGTCTTTAATTTTGCTGGTTCATCTGGACGAGGTCTACAGACCAAACATACAAGGATGAAGGGATACAGCGGGAGACAGTTTTCTTAGCTTAGCATAAAGACTGGAAACAGAGGGGATCTGCTAGCCTGGCTTAGTTAAAAAAAATTGTGGTTTTTACACAACTTGTTAATCAGGCTGCTTTAAGACATGTACTGAACGCCGAACATTTTCCTGGAGCGCTGTGTGTGAGAATACAAATGTCAGAGATTTCTGCAGTGGCATTTACTCGTCACGTCCTACCTCCTGCTGCTAGACCCAGACACGAGCCCCCCAACAAATGTTTCCAACATTTTCCTGTTCTTGTCAATGTGTGTGATTCTAGAAATCTTGTGACGCGTACTTCATATGTTAAAGGCAAACTCCAGAAAATGTTATGACTCAATTTTGTGCACATTTTCTGCAAATTTTCCACATATTTTCCAGTTCATGTCTGAAAACTTTAGTAGCTTTAGTAAGCTTCACAGTCTTAATTAACTGGGTGCCAACAGTTTGTCTTTAGTTGGGTTTGTACTTACATGATAGTGAAGGAGACAGACACGCTCTGGTCTTGGTAAGAGACCTGGTAGAAACGCTCCTCCTGCACCTGTGTGGGCACCTGAACGACAGGCAGCATCCCCTGCACCAAGTCTTTGATATTAACTTGGCTCGTCCAGTTAACCTTGAATAAATAAATAAAAATGAAAATGATTGATAAATACTTGATTCACTGATAAAATACCTCTGACATTTATCTCCATAATCTGACAGGATCACAGGCTGTGTATAAAGATGGACGACATGACAGCTCCCCAAAAGTGAAGCTAAATCATCTTGATCATCGCCCCCTGGTGGCTGGCTGCAGCATAATTCATCAAGAGTGGCTTTTGATTGGTCAAACACAATCACTACTATGCAGACTCAAAATGCGTCCGTCAGACACACCTTCATCATAGAAGCTATTTCAGCAGTGATGGGCACATCTTTGCCGGCCTCATCATGCAGCTTATAGAACAGGTTCTCCAGTGAGCCTCCAGCCAGCCACTCGATCTTCTCACTGTTCCTCAGCACGAGACTCTCATCATTCCGACTGTAGACCATGATCTGGGAGACTCTGGTGCTGGGTATCACACTCAGCTCCCTCACGACTGACTCGACATTCCTACAACTCTGACAGAAAAATAAAGCGGGGGTGGGCATATTACAAATAAAGTTTTGATTTTAGAAAATGTTAAACTGAGGGTTTTTTTTTTTTACTCACAGGCAATTCAAATTTAACTTTCAGCTTTTGAGGTTTTCCCTCAATGATTTTCAGGTTTATGGGCTTTGTCACCAGCTGCCCTGCTCCTGTTCTGCTGCAGTCGACCGTCGTCGGCGAGAGCCCCTTGACCTGGACCTGGACCAGGGAGGGATGAGAATAAACAAGCCATGTTTAATCAAATGATATTATTCAAGCAAGAGAGAGGTAAAGATACGACTGTTCACTATGAGCACAACCTGAAACATTCAAAAAGTGAAATGAAAAAGTGTCTAAAATTTTAATTTCCCTACGGGGGTACTTCTGAAAAGCAAAACTGTCCTTCTTTTACAGAAACTGGTGCAGTTCAAGTTCTAATCACACACACACACACACACAGTTTCCCAAAAACAACAGGACACACACACACCTGGCAGTAAACTGTCTGCTTGGGGTGAGCAGTGACATTTCCAGCCTCGTCGTGAACTTCAACGTGAAACCTGGCAGCGGTTCCATTCTGTATCTCGAATGGTTTGTCATCTGTCTTCACATGGAGAGAATGGGGAGTACCTGGAAAACATAATCAGACATCACAAAAAAAGTTGACTATATAAAGTAGGATTTTTATGTAGCCTTTGCACACGAGACATGTTTTTTCATGCAATCATTTGGCACGTTAAAAATATTTTTCGAACCTGTAACCAGTACATGCAAGTTTTCACATCAGCCATGTAAGTTATCTGGTATCTTTTTTTTTTTATGAATCATTAGCTTAGTTTGAATGCTTTTACAAGATAAAATAATATAATGTGTAAATAAAAAAAATTAATCACAACATAGATAATCAGCAACATAAGGACTATAAAAAAAATAAAAATGGATTATATCGTTAATGTATCACAGAAAACTGTCACCATCTCTAGCATCAAAACGATTCCTCAACACGGATTCTAATAATGAATAGCTCATTTAAAATCTAACAAAATTAATGGATGCATTCGTACCGGGGAGAAGACTGATCTCGATGGTCTGTGTTTGTTTGTTCAGGCTGGGCAGGGTCACTCTCAGTTTGTGTTTCTGCAAAATAAGACGCAGGATGGAGAAAATCAACAGAAGATGACCAGGGGTTGAGATGTGATGTTTTAGTTTTATTTGTGTTGTAATATGTGCTGGGATTTTACTGCATGAGAAAAATGGAGGTCCTGTTTTCTATCAACCCTTGTACCAGCAGAGTTTGGTCTTGTAAAAAGAGACCATGTGGGTTTTTTTCTAACCTTGCCTTGTTGGTAATTCAGGACTTTTCCTCTTGCTTTGACACCTTTGATGATGAACTTGCTCCCACTGCAGTCCACTGTCTCATAACTCACCTCCAGGTCACTGAATGATAATGTCACAGCAACGCCACAGAATGAGATTACTAATAAACCCTCTCATGTTTATGATAAAAAATTCATGGGCACGTAATCTTATAAATAGATAAACATGTTTAAGAGAAACGGAGAAGGTTCAGGGGTTAGGGTTAGGGCACACAAAAAAGTGGGGATTTAAAACAACAGTACATACCTATATGACATATCCCCTAAACCAGTAGTCACCTACCCTTAAAAGCACAACATCACTTTTCAATTCCAGACATGAGTCACGATCTACCACCCTCATATCTTCCAAAAACCCACTAAGGAGGGTCATATTTATTATTTTGGCAATTTATGTTAAAGGAATTAATATCAATTCATGTCTACAGCATCTGTTCAATGCACAATATTTAGCTTCAGTTCAACAACATGTTCTGCAGAGGAGCTGCTACTGCAGCACAATGTTTTTACATATGCTTTGCATGAATTATGGCCATAAATATGACTATTGTCCTGTGTACTCAATACCAGTACAGTATTAAGCCGTGCATCTTCCACTCATGCAAATATTTCACTTTTTAAACAAATGAATGGATTTGGTCAACAGAAACGCTGTATTGCTTTTACTTTGAAACACCTACAGAAAGTGTTACAACCATTCATGTTTGTGACATGAATTCAACAGATAAACATTAAAACTCAGGTGAAAGATCATTTTCTCTGTTTATTCTGCTGTGAAGGTTTATCTGTCTTTGTCACAAACGTATTTACAACACTTCCTGAACCCGTTTCAAAGTACTCCAGTGTTTCGTTGTCTGAATCCATTCATTTGCTCTAAAAAGTGCTTTGATTGTTATCGACAGACGATGAATACAGACAGAAGCAGATCGACAAACATACTGATCACTCCCCCAGCCTCTGGCATATAATGACCCACCTGCATTCGAGTTCAGGCAGGAGACTGGGAAGAGGCTTTGTTGAGTTTCCATAAAGATCTTTTATCTGCAGGGGAATGTCAAATGGCACTCCGACATGAAGAGGGGAGCGCACCTCACCAAAATCAAACGCCTCAGCTCTACCCACTGTGAAGGAGACAAGCAGCGGAGGAGTGTGATCAGGGCTTTAAGTCAGGATAACAAACACGACAGTAAACACTCTGCGCCTCTTACCCGTGATGGTGAAACTGATTTTGGAGCTTGGAAGGTCTCTGCCTCCAAAGTCTGTGGCACCGGTGTCATTTATAAGGGTGTTGAGGGCCAGTGTGTAACTCCCTGGGTCAGTGAACGTCTCTGCCAAAGATGAAAATGACAAATTATTTTCATTTCTTCTTTCTATACGCTTTATAATGGCACATTCAAAGAAACGTACCAATTTTTTTGAACCCAAAACCCCACTTTCCCGAGTGCTGGCCAACCAAACTGACAACCTCTTCAGCCTTTCCAGGACCTACGTGGGAAAGAGGAAACAAACATGGTCACAGATTTCCCAGGGAATAAATTGTGATAAAATGGCGAGTCTCAACTCATCAGGCATGAGTGAAGATTTCTTTCTTTCGTAACACGGACGATCTTACCGTTCCTGACCACTGTTAGCTTGACGCTCAGTTTGATCACCGTCCCCTGGATCACTGCTGGCATCCTCGACATTGCCTCTTTCTTTTTGTTCATGATCTCGACTGTGAGTGGCCCTGAAATATTAAAAGACAAAACAAACAGACTGATGTTTGGACTGGGGGTGCGTGTGAAGGATTAGAGGTGAGAAGGCAACACAATATTTTACCTAACGGAGTCCCAGCTGGATGAGAACCATTCTGTGGCCATTCGTGACTTTTCGGCCAGGACACTTTCAGCTCATGTGGAAGCCTGGAACCAAACAATAATTTACTGAATAACTAATTTACGGAAAAATACAACACGAGGGAAACATTTTGGTGTCAGCGCTGCAGAACGCTTCCCTCGCTGCTCACTCACCTTCCGAAGTCGTTTTCAATGTGGTTCTTGATGCCTTCGTCAGTGGCGTTCCTGTCGATCTTGAAAATGGGTATGGTCTTGTTCTTGTTGTAAAGTGCTCTGGGTTCCTAGGAAACAGATTTGTTTGTTTGTCTCATGTTAAATAGTACAATTAAAACAAAGGCTTTTACAAACACCTTCCAAAGCTTAGATTTTTAAAAACTCTGGTTTCTGTGCATCCATCCCGTCTGGGTGGAAATATTTTGTACAGCAAGGTCTCGTGAGGGAAGATTTTTTTTAAATAACCGTTAAAAAAAAAAAAAGTAGTGTAGACCGGGTAAGAAATGACTGTTATGCAACAAAACCTCCAGAGGCAGAAATACGTTGCAGACTCTTTAAAATATAAAACTCCCCGATGCCTTCCTTACCAGACGAACTTCAACCTGTCCTCCTGTGGCAAAGACGTCTCTGTCATGTTCTCCATACAGCAAAAACTGGAGCACGGTGCCATGCACAATTGGCTGCGTTTTCTGAGACTTCACCTGTGTGAAAATGTGTGTACGCATCGATATAAAGTAGAGTACAGAACAATCAGAATACACTTTCAGTATGTTACATAAAACATGCTCACAAGTTGGCCTGTTCTGTATATTTTGCCGTCCCATTCGATGGCGGAGAACTTCGCCCAGGGATGCTGCATTTTCTTCGAGGGCATATCTGGTAGAGTTACAATCTTCTCGAAGCCGAGGAACTTCACTTGCTTGTCCAAATTCTCATGACAGTTTATTAGCCACTGTGTGAACTCCCTCTGTATGTTACTTCTTTGTTCCTGTGGAAGGTTTTACTACTTTAACTCAAAGAAGCTCGACGACCACAAACTCAGACAAAGTGTCTGTCTGATAGAAAAAGAGAATATGTGTATGATCACCTGTCCTTTAACAACTCGTGTGAAGATAGTGTCCTTGCTCTTCACTTTCTGCTCCAGGTCCATGAAAGTGAGCTTGTTCGTGGTGACCTGGAATTTGTCATTAGTGAAGAGTACTCCTGAAAAGCGGCTGTAACAGTCTTTGGGCACCTTTATTGCTTTCACGTTCCACGCACACCAGTCAAACCTGCAACAATGAGAAATGAGAAAACCAGCTAACATGTACACAAAGCAGGCGCGGGGCCGCAATGGGAGAAACTGATCTCATTAGCACAAAACCACAAGATACAGCTCATTCTCTGTGACTTTTATAAACCATTAAAGACTTGGGAGAAATCTGAACCTCGTGGAAAGATATTTCAGTCTACACAGAAATGTCAGTCATTTTTAGAGCCTAAGCAATACATTTATTTAGTCGTTCACAGACATATCTGTGCTACAGACATCCCTGGCCTGGCATCCATTGCAGACGACCACAAAGGATGTGTGAATCTGTAATTTGCAGATCACTTCAGTTTTTGCGTAATCCTGCAAACTAAAAATCAAAGAATTAATTTTAATAAATGCATATTTATATTTTGGCAGATCTAAGACTCTCGAACGAAAGAATTAGAATCGGTATTGCCACCAGCCCCCCCAAAATCCATGTTGAGCTCAAATTCTTTCACAGTTAAAATGGTAATAAAAAAAAAAAAAGAAAGACAATCATTAGAGCATTTACTCCTCTACTGTGGTGTAGGGTATGAGGCGTCCATTCCAGAAACACTCAAAGATCGGCCTCTTGCCTCTTGCCTGATGCTGGACCCCAGACTCACTATCGTTATCTTCTTCATCAGGAGGTGCTGAAGAAGCAAATGATAAAATCTACAATTTTCTCCAAAGCTGTCATTCATCAAAGTATGTTGACTATTTAAAAACATTACAATACCTAGCGGGTCTTCAGGGTATGTCTCCTTGTCGTAAAGGAAGGGATGATAGCGAATGATTCCCTCCACTGTGCCGGCGTTGACTCCGGTGGTGGCCTTAAACTCAAACGTGTCTGCGGCAGCTTTTATGTACAGACTCTGCATGTCGTCATCGATTTTCCGAAGATTCACCACATGGGGTAATTTGGGAGGCTTTTCCCGCAAGGTGACCTGATTTAAAGACGGCAGGCAAATGGTAAGAATTCCCCTCAACAGGCTGTGGAGGAGAAGAAAACTCTCTCCTCCACTTTTAAACTGTTTAAGACCAACATCCTCACCTGAATGTCAATCTTCAAACAATCCGAGTTTGTGGAGCTGCTGCTTGGGTCATTTCCATTGACTCCATGTATGTAATAGTGATACGTGTGACTGAAACAAAGAAGAAACATTTGAATAAGAAAATTTGGGGCTTGTTAATACTTTGGATTATCGTTGTGGAGGATGTGGGGGAAATAACTCACGCTAGTTGTCTGGTCAGCACGTTGAAACTGTGCCTCAGAAAGTTAATATGCTGTGGCTTGATCCCTGTGATGACCACAGCTGTGAAGCTTTTCTTCCCATTTTCCTCAGCGATTAGAGAACGGAGGAAGCACTCGCTGTTTTTAATCACGTGTGAAGGGTCGCCGGGCTGCAGGAGGAGGATGAAACATCACAGATGTTACCACAGAGAACTGAAAGTCATGATCATCTTCATTTTGAATCAAAAAAAGAAATGCTTTGAATTAATCTGAACAGAGAATTTAAAAAAGAAAGTTTACCTTCCTGTTTCTGATGACGCTCTGGTAAACATACTCTTTGTTCTGTTCTTTTCTCTTAAAATCTTCTTTTGACAAAACCAGCTCATGAACATCTGGACAGTCGACTGGTTTGGTGATCATCTGGTGAAAGTAAAAAAATTGCAACATGTTATTATTACACCTGCTCAGGTCTCATTCAGACAGGAAGAACCCAACACATAAATTCCGCAGCAAAGACCACGTGCTTTTCTTCCCACCACATCCATGCCAACGTCTTCTACGACGGGACATCGCTTATTTATCCAGATGTATTTGTTTTCTGTTTGCATGTTTCAGGGCTCATTTGTGCGTCGGTCATGTGTTAGAAACGTCATCAACACGCTAACTCGATCGGGGGGGAACCCTGCGAGATCTCCTGCTGTACCGTGTTCTCACATCAGCCACTTTGGACTTTCTGCGGGTTTTTTACTCGGGGGGGCCTGAAAATGTCTGCAGAATTTTTTTTGAACATGTTGAAAAAAGTATTTGTCAATCAACTCTAATTATTCAATCTAAACAAAATACGGACAAAAGGAAAAGAAAAAACACATTTTCTTGTCTTTGTTACTGGGTTTGCAAATGTAGTGATGCTGCATTCTTAACTATTGTCACAAACGACTTACCCTGACCGAGTCTCCGATGTAGAAAATAGCCTGTTTTCCTCCAACTCCGAAGTAGGATATATCACTGTTGAGACTCCGAGGGGCGGGATCAGGCCGAACATACTCTTTACTCGACCTGTTAAATTTAGAGCATCTGTAAACTGCCCATTCATTGAGCTTCTGCGAGGTCATCCCACATCCGTTATCTAAGGCAATGATGGCGGGTTGCCCCAGACTTTCATCAAATAGCTGGAAAACAAAGAGAAGGAGGTCATTATTACAGATTTGGCTATTTGAGCTCTCAATCTGGACTAGGTTCAGGAGAATGGACAAATATATTGTTTATCGGCGATTGGTTGAAAACATCGTTGGTTGTTTTTTTGGGCAATTTGTCATTTTATTTTGCCGATATAATGGTCTGCCTCAGAGATTTGATTCAACTGTATAAATGACATGACATTAAATTCAGAAAAGTTAAAGGAGACAGATTACGCTCATATTCAGGTTCATAATTTAAATTAGTGTGTAGAAGGACATTGTTTGTCAAAGTGACAGGTACCACGCCCCCAACCAATCAGAAGCTGCCACGCCATCATACCCAGCACCTGGGTGGTCATCGAGGTCCCGCCCCTCGACCAGTGAGAAGTGGGCATGTCACGTTTATATTCACAAAAAAGACAATATAGCGTACTAGAGGACAGAAGAACTGAAAAAGCTTCATGCGAATCCTTTAACATAAAGTTACAAGCAACTCCATAACCAACCATTCGTATCTCTATTGTCCTCATTCCTATGTTTTCAGATGTGGCCCACAGAGAGTTGTCGATCAGCTCAGCAAGTGTGAAGGCTAGAAAAACGAACGGAGAAATCAAGTGATGAAAGATGCAGTTAAGTTCTCTGTCCATTTCAAGCATGCTAACTGGAATGGTCAATGACCGGTGTTTAAATAAGTTAAGCGCTTACCTAAGGATGTCTGGCCCTCACTGTCGTAGTACTCATGAAGGCCACTCTGGATCAACGTGTCATAATGTGGCGTAAACGTGATGTGCTCCTCCATCGCCGCGGGGAGATCTTGGTCCACCCGATGCAGCAAGTAGAGGGTACAGCCATCCTGAAGCTCCTCTACAAGGAACATAATCACAGCGGATTTCAGATGAGTATATATTATTATAGATTACAGATTGTTTCATTATTTCATCTATAATTTATTGAAACCCATATAGGCCGATTTACTCACCAAATCTTTCAGAATCCAGGACTGTTCTATCTGTTGTAGCCACCACAAATATCTCATTTGAAAGGAGTGAAAATGTCTGTACAAAAAAAGTCAAAACATTGTTATTAAGTATAATTAATTTCAATTTGCTGGTGAACTCAGCAGTGAAGGAAGTGATCAGGAGTCCTACGATGTCCAATGCTGAAATATTCACTGAAGCTTGGCCGAGGAGAATAACAAGTGCATCAACACAACAACAGTGCACTATGTCCTCCTGTATTCTGAGGTCTGATCTCCTGAGGTCACACTTAGGACCCCTACAGATCTCGTAGTTCTGCAGACAGTATTACCTGACTACACTGTTTTCATGTGTGTGGTGTCTGTGGTGGCAGCCCCACCCTTTTATCTAGGTCAAAATCAGAACTCTCTCCTTCCGCTAACAGGTGCGAGACTCTGTGTACTTTCAGAATCGTTTCCAGAGAACTCGACTCATTGTGACATTCCCTGTAGGCGTGTATTAAGGATAACATATACCATTTAAATACAGAGCAGGGAAATAACTTTAAATTTAAATGAGAAGTGTTTTACTGTGACTTTTTAAGAGTCAGCACATATATTGGTCACTTGTGTCTTCAATCACCTTATAATTCAAATATTTGTACTGTCCACATCTCCATCATCAACACATCTTTACAGAGACAGATCTGTGAGAGCAGTGAACTTACTCTGGACCCAGTTTGACCTTTTTTTATTCTTATGCTCTAGTGTTTGAATGTTTTGTGTTATACTGGATGTCTAATTTCCCTCTGGATAAATAAAGTATCCATCTATCAATCTACCACTCAGTCTATCTATCCTTCTATCCAGGGCCGGGTCTAGACAGGCATGTATGAGGGGGCAGCCACAAATCTTGAGGGGGCATTGTGTGAAACAAGACATGAGAAACAACTTGATATATTTTATATTTGAGGGGGCAAGCAAGACATTAAGACATTAAGAAGTGGAGCGGAGGAGAGAAGCATGAGATAATAAAAAATATATGAAATTTAATATATTTTGGGGGATTTAGTTTGAGGGGGCACAACATTTATTTGAGGGGGCCAGGCCCCCTCTTGCCCCTGCCTAGACCCGGCCCTGCTTCTATCTCTCTATCCTGACATTATGTTTCCAGCCGCCTGTGAGTAAAGTAATGAATCGTTACTTTGTGGAGGAGTCGCAGAAAACCAGTGAAGTTCGTCCCGGAGGTTTCCAGCTGCTGCACGGAGGAGCCCGCGGAGCGTTGGGGGCGACAGTCGCAAACGCGGATCCGTCTCTGCGGCCGATGCTCTGCGCGGTGCCCCTGGACGCTCCGGCCCCTCGGCTCCGTGGACGACAACATGTTGAAGTCAACTTTCCAAGTTTGCAGCGAAAAAGGCAAAACTATGTGAAACTGTGGTTCTCCCTCTGTTCGCCGCTGAGTTTCGAACCTTTGAGTTGCGCGGTGCGTTGTGAAGCACAACACACTCGGTGTGTGACGTTTAGCCGCAAAGTCAGATTTGTTGTTGACTTGTTGACACTCCCTTGCTTAATTCCCGTGCTGCGTTCAAGCCCGGCACACACGTTAATCACACGTTCATTTTACCCGAATTCCTAAAAATGCATTACAGCTGGGAATTACAAAAATAAAACGTCAATTATAATGATAACACAAATAGAATCTGATGGAAATGTCCGCAAAATCGTCGGGGAAACGCGTCAACACTCCCAAATTGGAAAGTTACTTCAGCCGATCGTCGGTTTTACGAACATTACGTGAACGCTGCACGCTTTCTACGGAAGTCCGTTAGGGACCAACATCAGAAATCTCTTTCCGCGCGAGACGCCGTGTGCTTTAAGTATCGTTTCCAGAGAACTCGAGTCGCGTGGGGACATTGTTGTAGGTGTGTACGCGGAACAGGGGTTGTTGTGTTTGGGGCAGATTCCGGCTAGAAGCGGAACCGAGCAGCTCCTCCATGTCCGTGTTGGTGCAGAGCGAACACGGCTGCGTGTTGGACTCACGCTCGCTCATCGACCAGGGGCTCGCACGCTGCATCCGCTGGGAACACGGTCGACAGAGTCACGTGAAGTGTCGCTTTAGGAGCCAGTGTTTCCAGATGTTTAGAAGCCACGGCGCTGCAGCTGTGGATGCAGGACACGTGGACATGTTGCAGAAAGCAAACAAACCACCGAAGGTAAAGAGGCTGATGATCACGAGCACACGACATGACTTTACATCAGTTCTCTGGGCACTACGAAGTTTGGGGTGGGCACATTTTCACTCAGTGACTGAGTGTTGAGAGTTTTTCCAAGTTTTAATGAACGAGTCACAACAGGAAAGTATATTATATTGTATTAATTCAACTGAGCCGTGGTATAATAATACCAATTATAACAATAACACCTTTTCATGAATCAATATCAGTTCAGTCAAATGAAGATAAGTTTTAATATGAGAATCGTCCCATCCCTGTGTCCAACCAGCAGTGCAGAAATCAGGAAATTCTGACAAAATAAACGATTGGCAGATTCAATTGGCACAGAATAAAGTTAACATACTGGGTGGGCAGAGTAGAAATATAGGTGGGCATTGTCCCCCCCTGCCCACTTCTAGATCTGGGCCTGGGCAAGAATAACCTGAAAAAAACCCAACCTAAAACTAAAATGAATGAAAGTAACAATGGTTCAAAGTTTTATTTGATTATTTCATCTTGTTCTTACCATTCATCTGTATAAATAATATTTTATTAACAATTTTATTTTCAGAAAAGGAAAAGAAAGCACAGCGAACTCAACCAGGGGGAAATTGATTCACAAATCTTCCACGAGAAGGTAGGTTGACTGTCTTTCTCTAGATTTAAGTCTGCACATCTCTTCTTCTGAAATGAATCAACCATCGAACATCTTTCCTTCAAAATATCAAACTTTTTTAGCTCCACTTAAATTCCCATGATCAGTTCCACTGAACACAGTTGCACTGTGGGTAATGTAGGCAGCAGATTTTGAAAGATCTGGTGTAGGATAGATGACATCTCTGTTTATGTGGTGTTAGTAGATGCATTTGCATCAAAATATTATATACTTAATATATATTCATACATAAAGTTACTTGTGTCCTTTGGTCCATTTCATCATATTGATTCAAGTATCCATTTTGCAACTGTTTATATTTCAGTTTGTTGAATGCAGCATGTTTCATGAACACTTTTGTGTCCCTGCTCTTTAAACACTCATTAACTCAACCTTTGTTTACTTATATTTTATTAAAGCACTTTATATAACACTTCTTACCTGATTTTATTTATATTTATTTATTTATGTTACACATAGTAACTTATTTTTGTGTTAGTATATCTCCTTTGTATATCTTTATCAAAGGCACAAATTGATGTGAGGATGAAACTTTCAGAATTTTGTTGCACAGTTAAAACAAACTTCTTGAATCTTTTCTTGAGATTCACAGACATTATGAGCCTAAAACATTGTAAAGTGGGTTTACAGCCTGCTGTTTATTTTCCTATTGTGTCAGAACATCAGAGACTCTTATTGTAACATGTGAGAAGGTCATCCTGGGAGTTTTATTTTCTTGAGATTGTAGTCGAAAAAATAAGTGTGGTGGGAAACTATTTTGTAGTTGAAAAGTAACTTTGATATAACTGTCTGAGACTTTTATGACCTGAACTGTTTTGACCTGAAACCTTTATGACTGTTCTATCATGTATTGAATGTCCAAGGAATTATGCTTTATATGCAAACCCATATATATATAATATATATATAATATATACACCATATTTTGAGTTTATCTCACCACCACACTCAATCCCGTTTATATTGTGTTCTGATGCAGATCCGGTCTGTCGTCGCTGAGGGAACCAAGTCCTTGCTGGATTCATCCCAATCCCTTGGTTATCTGAACGGAGCGCCGGACACAGTTAAAGAGCCCCTTCCTGTCCAGGAGTGCAGCCTGGCCGCTCTTTGTGAAATGGCTAAAGAGCTACCTCTAGTGGAGGACGAGGAGCAGGAGCTTGTCCAGCCACTTGTCGCTGAGGGGGGCTGCACGTCACATGTGGACTTGTTCTCTCGAGTGACGGAGAATAGGGTGGACCGGGCCACCGTGGTTACACTGATGGGAGAGGAGTATGTGATACCACCGCACGCATCCTTCCTGCTGTCTGATTTCACACGAATACAACCGCTAGTCCACTGTGAGTACGACGTCAGAAACAGAATATTTTTGGGCCTGAAAAAAATTAACAAAATGCCTTTCACTGCATGTTTGTGGTAACATAAGTGTCACTGTGTGACTCTCATCATCACAAGTGAAACCATATTCAGTTTATTTTCTTAAAAGCTGCTTGTTTCTCACACAGATGGAAGAAAGTTTGATTTGATCGTCATGGATCCACCGTGGGAAAACAAGTCTGTGAAAAGGAGTCGCAGGTAATTTGGCTGAAGGTGTAAAGCAGAAAGGAAGATAAGATAAAAACACTTGTTTTTTATCTCTAGGAATCAAATTCACATGTTAAAACAGCAAATGAATCAGGCCTACTATTAAATACTACGTTGCATTTACTATCTTATCTTATCTAATCTTTTTTTTCTCACTGAAGATATAGTTCTCTGCCCTCATCCCAGCTGAAACGACTCCCTATACCTCTACTGGCTTCTACGAACTGTCTGGTGGTCACCTGGGTCACAAACCGGCCCAGCCACCTGCGTTTCGTCCGTGATGAGCTGTATCCACACTGGGGGATAGAGGTCGTGGCTGAATGGTTCTGGGTCAAGGTACTGAAACTTTGAATAGATCTTAACCTGTTGGTGGTATTCCAGATGTTTTAAAGGGGTCGCTCTTTTCTCTCAGGTGACCACATCTGGACAGTTTGTGTTTCCACTGGATTCAGCGCACAAGAAGCCGTATGAAGTGCTGGTTCTGGGCCGATACCGTCCCTCTGCAGATCTCTCCACGAGGTGACTTCCCGGTGTCAGTTTTTATTATTTATATGATAACCCTTAATGTCTCTTAATCAAATTTGTTTGACCACTTTCAGCTCCTCAGAGACGTCAGAGGTTCCTGTAGAAGACTCGCGTTTGATTGTCAGCGTCCCATCAGCTCTCCACTCCCAGAAGCCCTCACTCTCAGGTGCATATCTTCCACTACATCTACCAGTACAGTTGTGTTTTACTGTGCCACCAGAGGGCAATGCTGCAACATCACTGATTGTTATCTCGCCGCACAGTTTCAGCGATCAGCGATCAGCTCTAAATCCTCGACAGCCTCCTACAACACATGCAAATCAATGGTTTTAGGCCGAAGTCAGTTCTTCAGGTCTTTAAATTGCACCATCTTGATTTTTTCTTTTTGAAGAAAATAAAAGAATTGTCAATGAACATACTTAAGTAAAAAGTATCGATTTATCTCATTATGTAAATTGAAATATCAGACATGCTTTCTGCAGAAAGTTTTAATTTTCTTTTGAGAGCACCACTAGTGGTTGCAGATGTTATTGGAGAGAGAGCACTGCTCAAACACGGCACACAGGGTCTCTACTGAATCCATATTAACTGCAGGGCTTGAATCCTCAACCCTTGACAGGTTGGATTTGTCAAAGCTTGAACTCCTGCTGCTCAGATGTGTCAAATTCCACCTGTTTACCATTATTGTGGTGTTTTGGCAAGATTTGACTGCAACACGGACTCTGCTACTTGGAATCAACGTAAGACCTTGACGATGAATATGCAGGGACTGTGAATAAGCGAGGCTTGACGTCATTTCCCTCCCTCTCAGGGGAATGCAATTTATTGTGCAGTACGGAGAGCAAAAACACAGCCAGTGTCGGCCAATGCCCTTTCAGAAGCACAGAAAAGCCTCCGCCTAACGCTCCTGGCTGGTTATTGTTTAAATACATTGAGTTGCAACATAAAGATGTTGTTGTGGAGCTGTGATACCATGGAGAGTAAGTGGATTAGTAAACAGTTAAGTATTCAGTCCCCATATGTGATATATATGTGATTCTTTGCTCAGTGCAAAGCCTCTCAGCAGGTTTTCCTCAGAGCAACATTTTTATTTCGGTGCACTTGGCTACACAAGTGCAGTTGCACTTATAATTAAATGTTTATTCGTGTCGTATTTAATATGAAGATGCACGACCAAACGGCTTGAATGAGTAGAATGTATATTTGTCTTTCATCTCCAGTTACTATGCCTCTTCGGTGGTTCTGCGAGAGGCGAGAAAGCTCTAACGGCAGTGGGTGTGGCTCAAATCTGTGAGTGTAGAAGGCAAATATTAGAAGAGCTTGACCCAATTCTGCCAATAAATCAAATGTCTAAGATGAAAATTAACACCTAGTCGCTTGAGGGGTAATTTTTCTCTTCTGTTATAAATTAGAAAACTGCTAAATCTAATTTAAAAGTCTCCGCACCTGTAACATTAAGCTCCTTGAACTTTCTTATCCTCAACTCCTGCTATCGTCCCTTAAAACTCGGCCGCACTTTGTGTTCGAGTCCAGCTTGTTGGGTTTGCTCGAGCCAGCGGGCAGCCTGATGGGTGTGACGCCACTACCCCCGTGCCTTCCACCTCGAGAAACCCCGACCCACTTCTGTCCCGCTACTGTCACTGACATCCTTGGTTGCCATGGAGAGATAGGGGACACCATTACTCCGCTACAGACACAACACATCCTTGCCAGATGGTCAAGCTGCAAAAAGAGAGCACGGGGGGTACTGCACTTTCCCGACTGACAAGATGCCCCCCTCCCGCAACTTTAGAAATTGTGAAAAAGTTTATTTTAATTTGACTGTTCCTAATGTTCATCACACTGCCAGTTGCGTGGGTTTGAATGGGAAATGGACCCGTGAGTGTAATCATTGTCATCTTTTTTCACTTCACCAGTCGTCTTGAAACCCTGATACCAATGTTCTGATTGTCTTTTGTTTTCTACACGTGTGAGACTGTGACGCTGTTAACATGGTAGATTGTTGAAAATCACTCGGGCTCTTTTGGGTGTAGGGAGCAGCTTTGCCACCAGGGGTTGCTTGTACAGCGTTTGAATTCCCAACATTGATCCACATTTTGAGATCCTCTGAGGAATAAGTAATTGATGCAGTCCCTTCTTTGTTGTAATTTGATCTGTGAAATCTTTTAAACCAGAATTAGGCTAGATTATATGCGTCTTTTTTCAGAAATAACCCCGGCTCCCTTGGCCACATGGGGGCAGCAGAACAACCTTTGATATATCATCACCCCATACAGTTGATATTGTAAATTTATGACCAACATTCTCTTTCCTTTTCTGCTCTCAACCAATCTTCTGGGAAATATCTGACTTTTTATGTGCAAAATGCTTCACCACATCTGAAAAGGTTGTGTTCAGTGAGTTTTCAGTGCTTGTCCATTACAAACAATAGGTTTGACACCGAAAATAAGTGTATTCAGATTATAAACCCTCATTTAATTCTTCTTTGCTGAACTTTGACTTGACTCTCTCCAGACATAGGACAACATAAAGGTCAGCACATTGCTTTTCATTCATGATTCAAGCTTTGTCTGCATGTGACATTTTTAATTAGCATCAGAAGTGGTAGATATTGTGCATATCAGGAATTAGTGTAGATGAGATTGATATGGAAAAGATATAAATAGAAACATGATCTAAACTTAGAAACTTGTTATGTTGTGCACTGAGAATCAAGTCGTTTGTGAGTGATACGGAAAATGAAACGGCTGTAGCAGTGGAGGGCATTTTACATCCATCAATAATAATGATTAATGCCATGGTTATGTTGCTTTATATTATAGATATTTTATTAAAATTTGATGAGAAGTACATTATAAACCATGAAGTTAATACTGTCATTGTATTGTAATTTTACAAACTGGACAGATCTGGATTTCACAATTAAAAGACAACTTAGGACTTGTTATGTTACTCGTCTAGAGAACAGTTGAGTAACACCCTCTTCTACCACAAGCCTTTTCTTGGCAGAAGTTTCACTCGATGTCCCATTTCAGAGTTAAGAGGATAATTAGACCTTTTATTCTCCGTTCAACTTTGAGAGCTGAGTCACCGCTTCGGGCCGAATTAGTCGGAGAGCTGCATGTTTGGCCTTTCCATTCGGTGACTCTGTCTCTCTGACATACATCGGATGAGAAAGCTGGAGGCAGGACACCACATTGTGCAGGTTGGATAGGTTTGGGGGACGAGGCTTTTGAGCTCATTAACTCCCTGAGTGTTGGCTGAGTTGAGTGTCAGGGCGGTTTGAGTATGCACAAGAGCAGGCAGAGTAGCACCGGGGCAGAGGAAGGGAAGGTGTCAGGTGTGCTGCTGGAATATCATCACTTAAAGACTCAAAGTCACTTCCAGTTCAGAGAGAAAAAACCTAATATATGGTGTGATGGAGCTGGACAGTTGCAAGTGCTGTTCTATTACTGAGTGACAAGAAAAGTACTCCTATATGAAATAGATGCAGTGCAGGGATTTTACAGCCCAATTCCCATTGCATGTTTTATCTCTTTTGTCCTGTTCAAGGCTTGATTACCAAGTGGGCAAAAAGGGCAACTCCCCTCTTACCCTGGCACCTGAAAGCATCAGGGTCACTGCATTTTGTGCTTCTTTGCTGAATGCATGTCCTTTCTTACACAAAAAACATTTGCAAAGCCACTTTCCTGTCCTTGTGAAAAAGTGACCTCATAGGTTTCTTGTGCAGCAGCTTATTACGATGCATAGTTGTGTTCTATTGTGAGGGAACCTCTAGCAGCTGTACTGATGACAGGAAAAGGAGCAGTTTCATGTGATACAGAAAATAGCACTTGAACCTGATTTCAGCTGTTAAGAGTGTGTTTTGTGCAGCCATTGGTCGATACTTAGTCATTTCATATTGAACTTTACAGCTCTTTTTGGTGTCAAGACGCTACAGTGACTTAATCTGCTCTTGATCATTAATCTTCCTCGGTTCTTCTTCTCCACAGAGGTGTTGAAACGCTACGTCGGAGCAGAAGCCTCGTGCTTGGAGCTGTTTGCTCGAAGCCTGCAGCCCGGATGGACCAGCTGGGGCAATGAGGTGCTCAAATTTCAGCACACAAGCTATTTCACTCTGACACCCACCGATGATCCAGCAGACATTTCTAAAGATGAGGGCAAACCCTCAGTCACACTATAGCAACCAACTCCCCTGGTGATCCCTCTCCTCCTCTCCTCTTCGTCACTGGCCCACCACTGTGGACTAATGACTGATCTTAAACACTTGTCACATCAGTATTTCACTGTTTTTAATAAAGTTTTAACGCAAAAATGCTTCTATACCAGTTTCCTTTTGATCTGCACTTCTCATGCATGGGGAACCTTTGATTTCTTTTTGGGTCGGGGTACATTTTTAAAGTAGTTAATCACAGGGCTGCCTTTGGAGAGATGAAAGTGCATTTCTGTTTTTCGCTGTGTTTTGAACCTTACTTCTCAAATTGCAATCAGATAAACAGCACGATTTAGTTTTTCTTTTAATATTTGCCTTTTGAGAAATCTTTGGCACAATATGTGTCTTAAGGATGATCAAAGTATTTTATTTTCTTACATTTCATGGTTGAACTGATTCTAAAAATGTTTCCCAGTTTCATACTGAATCGCTTAAGGATGGGGGGGGGGTTCACTTGAACAACCCTCTCAAGGACACATAGTTCAATAGATAATTTGTCCGTGGATTTTCCTTGTTTCCTCTGAAAGATGCCATCTTCTCTGTCAGCAAAGGCCACAGCCTGCCTTCCCCGACAAGGTAGGGCCTCCCTAATGAGTCTGTGGTATCAAGAGGATGGAGCGGAGGTGTGGCTGCGTGTGGGGATGAATAGCGCTGTCTTTGAGGCAGATGAGGATGAGTTACGTCCACTGCAGCACAGTATACATCACAGCTAATGAAGACAGAGTGTGAGTCCAGCAGGATCTTTTACACATTACCCTGTCGTGCTCTCTCTCTCTTGCTCGCTCGCACTTGCTTTCTAAAGCACACACACAATGCAGCAGCTTCCATTTCTCCTTATCCGGCCTGACCTGAGTTAACAATGAGAACCAGCAAAGTCCTTTGTTGAGAAATGTTTCAGTAAAGATTGATCAGAATATTTGCTTCTATTCAACTTTAAACAACAGTGACAACATTTTTTAATGTAGAGTCCAGGTAATATTAACTGGACTCTTCTAATGTCAAAAGTTAATATGAATGGGTGATGGTGACAATCTACTTTGCGACTTCACATTGTGGTTTGTGTTCCCACAGATCTGAAAAGTTGATTTAACAAAATGTTCACTCATCCTTGAATTTATCAGTAAATTAATAAATTATTTGTTTTCATTGCCAGTGGCTTTTCATTGATGTCCTCCAGTATTCTGCTCTTTCAATGCTAATTCATCATCCATCAAGCTGACTTGACCACCAGCGTCATCTGCAGGGGTGAGTTCTTTTCCTTGTTTTTATATAATTCTAACTTAATTCTAAGCAATAAGAGGGAACATTTGTCTGCAGTGGAAACCGTTCTGCTCCTGTGCGAAGTGAAAATAGTCATGTGATAGGGGCCTGATGGATTAGCACATTTCCATGACTGAAAAGACCCAATCAACAAGCGGTTGTGAGTGTCTATGTCACAGCTTCCAAAAATCTCAGTTTCTGTCCGTCCAGACTAAAAAGTAGTGCCGGGAGTTTTCAAACTAAAACAGGGCTGGCAGCATTTCCAAACTTCTCTTTTATAGCGGCTCTAAAACTTCAGAGTTGTGTGGACGCAGATTCAGAGCAGAGTTGATGCGTTTTCAAATGAACGAGTAGTTTTGGGGATGTAGCATCAAACACATAACTAATAAATCGACTTTGACGAGTAGGAATTGGTTGAGGGGCTCTTTCAAATCCATGCCCACCCCTCATTTCGAAGGAGTGCACTAGGATTTTAGTGAGTCACTTCTTCAGAAGTTGCTCAGACACCCTTTGATCAGATCAAACACTTTGCTGGTCGTGCTCAAGTGTGGCAAGGAATGGTTTTGTGCAGTTGCTCCACTGTGTAAACTATCACAAGAGAATTTCCAATATTGCCCGTGGTAAACCAGCAGACATATTTCCCATGTAATCCTGGGTATGAGAGAGTTGGAGAAAATGTTGCTGTAAATAGTCAGAAGCTTTGTCAACAACTCGGCTCGCAGAGGGGAAAAACAAAGCCTTTGGTTTGGAGACAGCCGTGCAGCAAACTGGCTCTCATCACAGCCAGATCTCCCACAGGACGCGGGGGAGAGAGGGAAGATAACTATTTCCTACGAGGAGCTGAGTCTCCTCATCTGTCTCAATCCCAAGGCCCCTGTCTCCTGCGCTGCCTTCGCTCAGCACACAGGCAGCTCAAACTTCTAAAAAGTGGGAACCACAATGAACGAGCACACATTAGCAGTTTCGTCAGTAAGCATCATCAGAGAGAATGTGAAATCTGAAGTTGAGCGTGGAGACGTAGGAACAAGTCCCAAGGTATAAATTCATTACCACAAACTCTTATGTTTATGGTAACAACTTTAGTACAAGGGTTTTTTTGTAGTTATAAAGAAAAAATACCCCTAGATATGTTTAACTAAGTGGATTCTTATTTTTTAAAGCGACCATTACAGAGATTAAATTACTGATATGTTCACAATTTCTTATTGTTATTTAGTTTGTCACAGTCACTGAATTCATGCTCTCTGTCTCAGAAACCCTAATATTTAATGTCAGGTCTTTATACTGGCAACAGGGTGAGCTTTGATTTCCTGTCTGATACACGTTCAAATTATAATTCCTTCTTCTCAAAGGATTCATTTACCTCTAAATTTGAGATGGGAAGAATCAAAGCAATCCCTTCGCTGAATATCTTATCTTAAATGTATTCATGAGGATGTAGACTCTGGTAATATAATCTGATTTAACGTAGTGCCATGTATTTTATGAAATGTTTCAAAGTTACCCGAGGGACAAGATATATCTGGCTGTCATTAAATATACAAACGAAGAAAATCGAAAGAGAGACGAGAGTTTTAAGGAGCTAAATTGAGACGCTGCAGCTCCCGCATCTCACACTTTCATCCTGAACAGGAAATGGTGCTGAACAGACACATTATCTGGACTTATAGATACACAATAGGAACACGAACACTGGTTCAGTTGAAGTGAGTGGATGGTGAAGTAGTGGAATAACACTTAAAGTTTTATGATGCTCTTAACACCAATTTACAGTTGACAGGTCATTGTGATTTATCTTGTAGGGGTATGGTGTACTCAGTGTGCACGTGAGGTATATTTGAGAATATTTCATTGTATCATGTACAAAAGGGAAGCCAAAATTATTTAGCGTGTACATTGACTTTTTATTTAGGTCCATGTCCCATCTGCTAACACAGAGGAGGCATTGTTTATACACTATCCTGCAGTCAGCCAACAGGGAGGGTAGCGAGGAAATGAAGCAGTTATAGGCTCAGAAATGTTGCCACGGTAAAACAAAAAAACTATAGGCCGTTCACTAGCGTCCCTTGTATTGATTTCCTGCATACATGTCTTTCCCTCCACTTAATGGCTCACTGAAATGACATAAATAAGACAGATACAGACACACATAAATTATGATCAGTTAATTATAATCATAATCATAATTAATCCAATAACAGATTGAAAAAAATAGAAGAAGAAAAAAACACCTCCAGGGTCTGTTAGGTGTATAACATTTTAAATAATCTGAGTAGTTAGAGGGGATTACATTGTTGACTAATTTTAATGTGTATCTGTGCATTTGAAAATGTGACAGGATGGGCACTTCTTAATTACAGAATTTAATTTGAGAAAGCCAACTCTCTGCCTGGCCACTCTTAGCTGCTAATATGTGTTTACATGTTAACTTGTTAACTAACTGAGTTAGTTAGACTTTTTTTCTGAAGGTCAAAGAGACTTGGAAATTGGTTCCATCTCAACTAATGTGGGGATGCCCGATCCATTGGTCCCATTCCTGAACCTCTACGACCTCGGGAAGGGGTCAAACCACCAACTCTAAAAAAAAAAGTACAAGATATTTTCAAATAACTTTTTTTCTGAAAGTCGTACAGACTTTTGCATTTCACCAATCATGAAGGGGAGACAGTTACGCACCCACACCAAATTTAATAGCCTAACCTTAACTCTAACTTAATAAGATGCTAATATTACAACCTTAATAATCACAATAATATGCAAATTGGGTTTACAACTTGCGTGACTACTCATCAGAAGGAAGGAAAATCATTCAATACAGTATTAAGGTGGTGGCTATACTGCACATGCTAATCCAAGATGAGCCTTCATATAAAAACCCAAATCCACATGGAGTTCATGTAAATGCCAAGTGAAGATGAAGGAGACCAGAGGGAATTGGATTCCAGTCATGGTGACAGTGCTGCCGACAAAGAGGAAGTTCCGCCGCACACCGCTGACTGCCAAAAAGCTAACAAGCCCACACCACCACAGCAAGAGGCTGAGAAACAACCAGACACTAGATGATTTTACTCTCTGCCATTATATTCCCACCGATCACAGATGCTTCATTCTAATTATTTACTTACATCCGGTGTCATCAGTTTTAATTTGATTTACATTAATTAGTGCTCCCTGTCAATGTGTGGGTTTCGCTTCATGCGGCTGCGCTACGTCAAATTTCCAAAGATGAGCTTGTCAGGTGGAATGGAGACTCCTAATTGGCCACTGGTCTGAATGCGAGCTTTAGCACGTTTGATCTTCTAATTGGTACCATCGTGCTTAGAATTACATGTATGCAAACATGCTTACATCCGTTTCTCTTCCTTTCAAACATACCCAAACCTCCTCATCTGCTAATTCTGACAGTCACTCTCCTCGTCTTCACTTCTCACTCACAGCTAATATTTCATACGTCAGACCTCCTCACTCTGTTTTACGAGGGGTATAATACGCCACTGAAAATATTTCCTTTTCCCACCCCTGGCAGGCTAGAAAAATATCAGAGCCTCGTTCAAATCGAGTGTTTTCTGTCGTCTCAGCCTCTCGCTGGGCCCCATCACCATTCAGTGTCAGTGAAGCCTAACGTGGCAGATGGACAGCTCCATCCATATTCATTCACAGGATACCTCATGTCTCTCATGTAAGGATCTGTCTGTCAGCAAGCGGCACGTGTCAGTGTGAGTCCATGAAAAGGTGTCAGAGAGGGGAAAAAATGACTGTTTGAACATCCAGACATGAGCAGCCAGTCCAAAATAGTCACCGACGGAGATAAATTGAGGGATATTAGCAGCTTGGGTGTCAAAATGGCTGACAGGTGGATGGCAGCAGGCAGGAAATCACTCTGTGCCAGATTTACAAATCTTTTGGCTTTGTTAAACAGACAAAGAGTCATGACTGCTGTGTTTCCATGTCTGTCCTGACTCTGCTTGCTGCTCTTGGTCTTATTAATTCATTTATAAACTATGGTACAAGAATATTGGCATTAGTGAGTAGTAATAGTCAAACTGCTTTTTTTGGTCTTTCGGAGCTGGACTTGTTCAGATTTTGTAAAGCTTCACTCAGTACCCCACACTTGCACTCAAATAGCTGCAGCTTGGGCTTAGATTTGCTGTGCTTGTGCTCAAATGCAAGTGTACAATTTTATAGTATGTACTTTATTATATGTACTTTGCTTCATTTAAAACTTTTAGAATAAAATGACATTTTCTGTATATACTACCAGTGCATGACCCTGTTAAAGTAAGCGCCCGTGTGGGACTCTTAAAGAGGTAAAGCTAACGCACATTGAACGAGGGCGGGACCATTTCATTTGTCAACACTACACCTGGCACCTTGAGTGAAAGCACGACAAAATCTCAATGTGAAATCAGTAAGAGCTCCTCTGAATCCACACGACCACACCGTTGAATAAAGATAGGAGAAAAAGCGAAAGGTTTTTCAATTCCTTTTAAAAGGAAAAACCTCAGTAAAGACTCCAAAACGACCTCCTATTGACGGCTGTGCGTCAAAGGACACTTCATTATTTTGCTTGGGAAGCTCTTCCTAAATATTATTTCTGTGTCAGTGACGGGTCATGTTGCATAACAGTGGAAATGCATCGCTGCAGGCTATTCCACTGTGAGAGAAGTAAACAAAGTCGTGGAAGTTTTTCATTCTGGGGGGCAGGGGGAATATATCAATGCAAATGAAAAGTGTCAGTACTAATATAACAGTAAACGGTGACATTGAACTTCAGACAATAGACTTAAAGATATATGATACGTTTTATGATATTGGATGAAGAAAAAAACAAGAGTATGTGATGAGTCTGAGGTTGATTGTCATGCTATAAAGAAAAAGTTGATCATGTTATTTTAGATAAGAGTGTGTTAAGGGAAATAAACTTTAGTGTTTGAACTTGGCCCTCAGAACTGATAGTGAATCTGCAAACTAATGCAGCTGTGCAG